CCCTGCCGCCTCCAGAAGCTACTGGTTTGCTGGTGGAAGGGGCCACATCCTGGCAGAGCTGGCTGCCAGGCCTGCAGAGCCCTGGGATTTGTGCTGAGTTGCTGGTGGGCAAGGCAGGATCCTGGTGAGCTGGCTGCAGGCTCAGGGTGATCCAGGGCAGGTCCCATGGGGCCCAGGGGGTCCTGAGGCTTGTGCCAGCCCACTGGTGTGAGGTGTGGTCTTGGCACGCTGGCTGTGAGTCCAGGGCTACCCGTGCTAGTTCTGGCCTTGGGGGTACTAGGGCTTCTGCTGACCTGCTAGAGGGTGGGGCCAGGTCCCTGCTCTGCCTGAGGGGTCCCGAGACTAGTGGAGACCAGCTGGTGGGTGGGTAAGTCCTGGAGCTCATAGGCTAGAGAGGACTCCAAAATGGTGCTTGCCAGCACCAGTGTCCTTGTGGTAGAATGAGCTCCCAGCAGTGGCTGCCATCAGTGTCTGTGTCTCTAGGGAAGTCCCCGTTGCCTCCTGCTGGTCTAGGAGGCTGTCCAAGGGCAGAAAGTGAGTCTGACCCAGGCTTCTTTCAGATTGTTGCTTCTGAACTGGGACTTAAAGTGTGTGAGATTCTGCGCATGCCCTGTTTGAGTGGGGCCTCTATTTCCTACAGGCCCCTAACTCTCCTGAATGCAAGCTGCACCTTCAAAGCCAGATGTTCTGGGGGCTTGTCTCCCTGGTGCTAGGACCCCCACAGCTGGGAAGCCTGATATGGGTCTTGGACCCTTCACTCCTTGGGGAGAGGCTCTGCAATTGTGACTATCCTCCTGTTCGTTGGTCACTTACTTGGGTCTTGATGATACCATGTCTCCACTCCTCCTATCCTTCTTGTTGTGGTTCCTTCTTCATATCTTTAGTTGTAGATCTTTTCTGCTAGTCTTCAGGTCATTTCTATTGATAGGTGGTCTGCAAACAGGTTTAATCTTGGTGTGCCCCTGGGAGGAGGGAGGCTCAGGGTCTTCCTACTCTACCATCCTGGTGACCAGCAAATCATTTACTTCAGGATTTCTCAGCCTTGGGCTTCCCTGATAGCTCAGTTGGTAAAGAATCTGCCTGCAGTGCAGGAGACCCTGGTTTGACTCCTGGGTCAGGAAGATCCCTGGGAGAAGGGATAGGCTACCCACTCCAGTATTCTTGGGCTTCCTTTGTGGCTCAGCTGGGAAAGAATTTGCCTGCAATGGGACAGACCTGGGTTTGATCCCTGGGTTGGGAAGATCCCCTGGAGAAGGCAAAGGCTACCCACTCCAGTATTCTGGACTATACAGTCCATGGGGTTGCAAAGAGTCGGACACGACTGGGCAACTTTCACTTTCACTTTTTCAACTTTGGCAGAATTGACAGTTGGACTTGGTAATTCTTTGTTGTGGAGGCTGTCCTGTATATTGTTGGATGTATAGCAGCATCCCTCGCTCCTCTCTAACCCAAATGCTTCCAAGACATTTTCAAATATCCCCTTTCAGGGGCAGGGGACAAAATCCCTCCCACCTTGTTTGAGCACTGCTGTATTAGATCATCTTTGAGTTACATGCACATGTAATACTATGGTAGAAATTATATACACTGCAGCAGCTGTGGACATTTCAGAAGGCTGTTTGACCACAGCAGAATGTTACAGAGGTGATAGTCTAATATTCTGTAATCCTTATAGATAAAATTTTCTATAGCTCTTGTAAGAAAAAAGCAAAACAATGGAGAAAGGTCAGAAAGATTGGCAACATGAAGCTCTAGGCAGAGTGAGAGCTTCAGGCTAGTCACAGACGTGAGAGGGGATGGATTCAAAGTGGCATGATGGGCTTAGCTGTTATTCTCACAAAGACGAGTCTGAGCTGGGAAATGGTTGTCTTCTCAAATCCAACTCGGGGCCCACTGGGAACTCAGTCCTGCATGGGGGGCACAGTCTACCAGAGCCCCGGTAGGCCCGCTGGGTTTCCTGGATATATTGGAATTCATAGAAATCTACATGGTTTTGTAGTATCTACTGCTTTTACTGCAGTAATGGGAGGACAATGATTTTTCCAAAGAATACTTTTGAAGGCACGGTGAGGACGAGTATGGTTTGCCTGGATAAATGCAGTCACTTTAGGTTCCTACTCATTAAATGACAAGAAGAGAAAGGTGTAGCACTGTTCCACCAGGTGGTGCTGTATCTGATTCATTCATCAAGCACGGCTTAATCAGGTCTTCTGTGACCCTGTCTTTCCCAGTGTATTTTCTCAGTCCTTTTGAAATAATTGGATTGAGCCTATACTTCAAATGAAAGGTAACTGCCAGTTAAACAAAAATCCCATTCTACTGTTTATCTCTACTTCTGATTCAGACTATGTGCATTTCTATTCCAAGCATCTTGGCACCAAAGCTCAGGTGCACAAGGCACCAGAGTTTCCTGCATTCATAACAAAAGATTTCTTCTTCCTTTCAGTTTTAATTAATGTCATCACCGGGTGATTTTATGACTGGCAAGTGCAAGCAAAGCTGATAGAAAAACCTTTTAACTTTAATTTCTTCAATATTCTGCTGTTATCAGATATAAATTTCATGCCTACCCTCAGCAGCCTGGGATATAAAACAGGAAGAAGTTAGGATATTAAAATGCTTTGCAGACACAATTATGTGCTCCAAAAGAGAGTCCTATGACTTGGAGGTCTGTTAACATGACCCGTAGATGGGGAACTTGGCCATGATATGACTGAGTAGCCTCATGTCAAAAAGAAGTCCATATATTGAATATCCTGGGATTAACCATAATGAAAAGAATACAAAAAAGAATATATATATATATATGTGAATCACTTTGCTCTACAGTAGAAATTAACATTGTAAATCGACTGTACTTCAATAAAATAAATTTAAAAAAAACTCAAGACGTTCCAAGGGCTCTTTTAAGCAATTAGCTCTTAACTGGATGGTTGTGAGATTCACCATGGACTGAAATTTTTAATCCCTGGGGTAGAAAAAGGATACAAGTATCTTTACCTTTTATAACTTCTTCAGATGGGTCTGCCAGTATGTATGAGCCAGGTGGAAAGAATTTCCATGCAGCTGTTACAAGTATTTTTTTTTTTTTTGGTCACTTTGTTTTGTTATAGGAAGAGAGACTATTGTTGACCCTCAGCAGAGGTAGCCTTAAATGTATAGCAACATAGTAAGGGACCCTCAAGAAGGATGAGCTGGTAGTCAGTGATGGATGGGGGAATCACTGTATTACACTCATATCCACATCTATTTAAAACACAGTCAGAAGAAAAAGACAAATGAAGTGGTCTCAAGGTGACGAGTCAGACAGAGAGCAGGCAAAGTGGAAGTCAAAGGTAGAAGTAAAGAAAATGGAAGGAAAACCTGCCCTCACTGGCTTATCATATCAGTTCAGTTCAGTTGCTCAGTCGTGTCCGACTCTTTGCGACCCCATGAATCGCAGCACACCAGGCCTCCCTGTCCATCACAAACTCCTGGAGTTTACTCAAACTCATGCCCATTGAGTCAGTGATGCCATCCAGCCATCTCATCCTCTGTCGTCCCCTTCTCCTCCTGCCCCCAATCCCTCCCAGCATCAGGGTCTTTTCCAATGAGTCAACTCTTCGCATCAGGTGACCAAAGTATTGGAGTTTCAGCTTCAGTGTCAGTCCTTCGGATGAACACCCAGGACTGATCTCCTTTGGGATGGACTGGCTGGATCTCCTTGCAGTACAAGTGACTCATAAGAGCCTTCTCCAACACCACAGTTCAAAAGCATCAATTTTTTGGCGCTCAGCTTTCTTCACAGTCCAGCTCTCACATCCATACATGACCACTGGAAAAACCTATAGCCTTGACTAGACGGACCTTTGTTGGCAAAGTAATGTCTCTGCTTTTTAATATGCTATCTAGGTTGATCATAACTTTTTTCTTACAAGGAGTAAGCGTCTTTTAATTTCATGGCTGCAATCACCATCTGCAGTAATTTTGGAGCCCCCCAAAATAAAGTCTGACACTGTTTCCACTGTTTCCCCATCTATTTCCCATGAAGTGATGGGACCAGATGCCATGATCTTAGTTTTCTGAATGTTGAGCTTTAAGCCAACTTTTTCACTCTCCTCTTTCACTTTCATCAAGAGGCTTTTTAGTTCCTCTTCACTTTCTGCCATAAGGGTGGTGTCATCATATACCTCTGTTTAAAAGTTATTAAAAGCATAACAATGCACTTGTGTCATGTATTTTCCATCAAAATAATGAAGAGGAAAAGCGAGGACAGGTGAAAAGGCCAGGACTTTCAGTTAGTAAAGCAAACACAATTCTACATCACAGTCTTGCCTAGGGCAAGGCCTGACCATAAAGTGAACTTTCTTTAGAACTCACTAAAAACAAATAGTTCTTCCTTTGAGTATTTTAATACAAATATATTGGTAAAAAATCCTCATCTAACAAATAAAAACACAACAACTGACTGAAAGATTTAAAGACACTGGGAAGCAGGATGGGATGGTAGAAGAGACCCTCAACCAGCGGTTTGTTCTCTGTTCAGCGTTGTAAGTGCACCCCAGTGATGGACCTCAGGGACCTCCGAAGGGTCTGTACTCCCCTTGTTCTAGAGAGGCACTTCCTAAATTGTCATGTGTCTTTCCCTTGGCTCCCTTCTAGCTCCACCCATAGTTAAGATGTGAAGAAAAAGAAAACTTCCTCAGTGAAATACACTTGGAAAACAATATACACTATACGCCCTTCTTAGAGATTTCTGCTGCACTCGGGCATGTTTAAAGGGCATCAGAATATTTGAGAGGCTCTGGGAGAGGAGAATCCGTGTACCTGACCCAGCATTTCCCAAGTTTACATCCCCTTCCCTGTCCTTGCTTCACCCCCAGGAATACGCATCAGCTTCGCACAGCCAACTGGTCTCCTCCAGCAGAGTGTTTGGGAAAGGCTGTCTCATGGGTGCAGGTATTGCATCTTCTTGCCACACTCAAAGGATTACAAAGGTTGACAAGACTTACCGAGAGGATCTACTTAATATCCTGAGAGTTCAGAGTTTTGCTTAAATTTGGCTTCTTTGTACAGTTGTTTAGCTTTTGCCCTATCATTCTCCTGATTGAAACGTCATCTGTGTTGGGAAATAATTGCTTTGTGATTCCTGTAACGACAACAACAAAACACAGAAAAACACTTTATCAGATGGGAGTAGAATCACGAAAACAAAGAACAAACCAGTGGTTACCGGTGGGGAGGGGGGAGTAGGGGAGGGGCGATGTTGGGCTGGGGGGATAAGAGGTACAATGATTATGCATAAAATAAGTTATATGGGCTTCCCTTCTGGCTCAGCCGGTAAAGAATCTGCCTCCAATGCAGGAGACCCTGGTTTGAATCCTGAGTCAGGAAGATCCCCTGGAGAAGGGATAGGCTATCCACTCCAGTGTTCTTGGGCTGCCCTGGTAGCTCAGCTGGTGAAGAATCCACCCGCAGTGCGGGAGACCTGGGTTCGATCCCTGAGTTGGGAAGATCCCCTGGAGAATGGAAAGGCTACTCACTCCAGTATTCTGGCCTAGAAAATTCCATGGACAGTCCATGGGGTCGCAAAGAGTTGGACACGACTGAGCGACTTTCACTTCACCTGGAGAGGGGATAGGCTATCCACTCCAGTATTTTGGCCTGGAGAATACAATCCATGAGGTTGCAAAGAGTCTGAAACGGCTGAGCAACTTTCTCTTTCACGTTCATTGTACAACCTGGGAAATAGAGCCAATATTTTATAATAACTGTAAATAGAGTATAAACATTAAAAACTGTGAAACACTATATTGCATGTGTGTATGCTCAATCACTGAGCCGTGTCCGACTCTTTTTACCCCATGGACTATAGCCAGCCAGGCTCCTCTGTCCATAGGATTCTCCAGGCAAGAATACTAGAGTGGGTAGCCAGTGGGAGATCTTTCCCACCCAGGGACTGAACCCACATCTCCTGTGTTCCCTTGCATTGGCAGGTGGATTCTTTACCACTGAGCCACCTGAAAGCCCCAAAACACTATATTGTACTCCTGTAATTTATATAATACTATACATCAACTATACTTGAATGAAAATAAGTAAATTAATTAAAAACCCACATTATCAGGACTTTGCATCTTAAGATATGAACTGAGATAAAACACCAAGCACCATGGACATTATAATCTTTGCCCCCATTTTGAAAAAGCAGCCCAAACTCCCATGTGATATTTAAACTATATAGGCAGATTTTCCGAAGCAAAGCAAGAGATAACTAGGTCTATATCATAAACTGAGAACATATGTATGAGTCTTCCTATGGTACACCCAGCTTTACCCTTATTGCTTGTTCTGAATACCATGTGCCCTTGACCCAAAATGCTGAGAATTTATTTTTACCCATTCCCAGCATCAATTGAAACAAGCAGATTCTGACTATTTTCCAACTAAGAAATGATGTAATATCAGAATACAGAGAGCTGGGATTCAGTGAGTATTTAAAATTGTTACTTGATAACCTAGATTATTATATTTAAGGAGATTAACTTAAAAACTGTCAGTAGGATGGTTACATTAACCTTCGTTTTTCTGAATAGAAGATAAGGGATATTTCTAACCAAAATAAGAAAAAGAATACAATATATGAAGAGTTACTAAAATTTTGTTGGAGTGAATTTTGAAACTTTACTCTTCTAAAGCTATGAATTGTATGAATTCAAGTTTTTAGTGATATAGAATTCATTTTTATTTTAATAACCACTTAAAATTTTTTAAACGAATTAATTTTTGGCTGTGCTGGGCTCTTGTTGCTGTTCATCAGCTTTCCCTATCCGTGGTGGCGCATATTTGTCTTTCTCAGTAGTTGTGGTGCATGGGCTTAGATACTCCTCAACATGTGGGATCTTCCTGGACCAGGGATCGAACCTGTGTCCTCTGCATTCTTAACCACTGGACCACCAAGGAAGTCCCATTAACCACTTTTAATGTAAAGTTGTTCCACAAAATTCACCATGTATCATACATAAGAGGTTTAGGCTATCCTGAGATATCTCTCATAGAAAAATAAATTTGAAGAAAAAAAGGTAATGAAAGAACAACTAAATGTTGAATGGAAAAATTATTTCAGATTCATGTGACACAATATAATGCAATCATATCACCTATAATTTCTTGAACTTCATTCTGATTCATAGCTGGTTTCACGGCCTTGTCCCGTGAAGTAGAGGATTTTGCCCCCGTCAGGCTGTGTGTGGCCATGTATTCATTTGTGTAAAGCACTTGCATTAAATCATTAATGAACTTCTGAGGCTTGCTCTTGTTGCAACGCGCAATCTGCCATTTTTCAATCTTGAACTAAAAAATTAAAAATAATAATTGAAATAACTGAAAAAGGAAAGGAGTATCTGAAGAAATATATTACTCACTGAATTAATACAGACCAGAAAACAAAATCAACATTCTTTAAAGTGATGCCCATATATTTAATATATATTGATATATATATCAGGGGTGAGAGTTAGATGTTATTTTTGAGATAAATTCCCAATATTTATGAGGTATTTGTTTCAGAGTGCATTCAAATTCTTGCCATGTAATTTGGATTTGGCACTTTAAGGATTATTCCACCCTCAACCTTTCCTACTAAACAGAATAACGGCCCACGGACAACAACCACATCGTCATCCCTGAAACCTGTGAATGTGTCACCTTATATGGGAAAATCAACTTTGCAGGTGTCATTAAAGGACCTTGAGATGGGGAAAGTTGGAGAGTATGCTGGGTTATTCAGAAAGGCACAATCTAATTATGAGACTGTTAAAATTTTACCTTTTTTACACTTAAAATTCATGTACTTTATTGCAAGTATGAATATATATTTACATACACACATACATATATAATTTTATGTGTATAAATATACACACACACTTAGCAGTGTCTGGTACATAATAAGCACACAATAAGTGTTTAATAATAATAAATAATAATAAAGAAAATGGCTAACATTTATTGAGGGCTCACGTGAGCCCTTTGAACACAGAAGAGAGGGCAAGAAAGAAGACAGAGGAAGGAGAGGCTCGAGGAGTGAGGGGTTTGCCTGCTCTCACTGGCTTTGAATTCGGGGGAAGAAGACCTCGAATCAGGGCATGTGGGAACATCCTTCAGTTTATGACAAGAAAACAGGGAACTCAGCTGTAGCGCCACGAGAAACTGAATTCTAGAACCCACATGGGCAGGAAACAGAGCCTTCCGCCGAGCCTCTAGAAAGGAAAGAACTAGCCAGCACCCTGAGTTTATAGCCTTTGTGTTTGTAATATTATAAATCACTCAGTTTGTGGGATCCTGTTACACCGCAGGAGGAAACTGGTACACTAAGAGTCAAGTATTCCGAAGGCTAGATTCTGAGCAGCGACAGTAATTACTGCCCTTGAAGGCACATTTTCCCAGGCTGATTCTAACAAAACTTGTACTTTTAGCTTCTGTTTCTTGATTAAGAGAAATTTGTATAGAAGACAAAGAATTGTGTTCAGCCAGCATGTACAGGCTGAAATTCACCTGGTCTCAATAATTCAGTTTTATAACCTTTAATGCATAATTGTCCTTTTCTCACTGGTTTAAGAATTTTCTAGTTTAATAACTTCATCATTGTCCACCATTTATTTTCTAAACTGGATATTTGCTTCACAGATACTAGATTTATTGTAAAAAAATTGTTTTATGTCATCAGAATATTATGATTGACCTAAAGTTCCATAAAGTGATCTGATAAGACGATGACTATGTTGTTCTGTGATTTTCATTTTGCCTGTAACTGCTCCCCAGAGAAAGACGGGACAGTCTCCCCGCTGACCTGTTTCTCATCCGTCTGATGGTCTTCCTCAGCTTTCAGGGAGATGGGTGAACTGGAATTAGAGTTAGAATTACTGCACGTAGAAGCAAAGGAATCCGGCGATGAGTTGTTCGCTGCTCTCCAGAGGGTGGATGCGGATGTGGACAGGGTTCCTCCACCCTTGAGCAGTGCCTCTGCCATCCCGACCAGCTCTTCAAACTGAGTGACGGCCTGCGGCAACACTAAAATGGCAAGAACAAGTAGCACTTTACAGATGCCTGTCCTAACAGCATAGACACGTATGTTTTATTATGTGTCTATGCATAGAAGTATGTAGAACAAATTGTTAACACTTGCCACCTCTGGAAAATGAACATTGTAAGAACAGTGATTGGAACACATTTACTTTTTATTATTCAGTAATTTAATAATTGCTGAATAATAGTAGATCAGTGTTAAATCATTTGGTTGTTGTACCCAAATATATATGCATTACTTTGTAACTAAAAAATGTTTTTAGAAGTTGATTCTTTTTCTAATTGCTAATGGCATTATTTGAAAGTGCTTAATCTCTTGTTTGGAGACATAACTGATTGTATCACCTTCCATCAGGCCAGTTTAAGTAACAAGATTAAATAAATCAGTTTCTCACTAAATCTTCTATAATCATAGTGTGTGATTTGCCAGGGAGTCAAATGACATCAAATTATTAAAAATTTATGGCCACAATTCAAATCTATGTGTTCACATATAACAGATGGATTTTGGTAGTCAACTTGAATGTTCTCTTTGTTCCTTTTTTTAAATGGAAACTTACACATTCATAGGTTTCATGTCTCCATGTAAAATGGTCTTCTCTGTTGTTATATCTAGTTTGTTTCCTAAGGACAAATAACATTTTGTTGGAGTTGGAAGACACTTTGAATTCTCTCTGATTCAACTCCTCACTCTGGTTGAGGGTAATGCCTGGTAGAGAGGCGAAAAGACTGAAACTTTTTTGTACTTTTCTAAGCATATTAATGACCTACGTAATCTTTAGAATTATAGATGATTAAAGACCTGAACATCAGACATAGTGATGATATGTCCAAATCAATATATTTAATACTATGTTAATAGAAAAATAATAGAAAAAACCTGTTAAAGAAGAACATCTTATTCTATATTTTTTCAATTAACATTTGCTAAGCACCTCTCATGTGATAGCCAGTTGCTCTGTCAGCAATTATTTATTGAGCACTTACTTAATAATATTAGACATTTAGCTAGCTTTTACTCTGTACCAGGCACTATTTTGGGAACTTCACTGACTTTCATTCATTTACTCCTCATTGCAATTCTCCGAGAAAGGTATTAATATAATATTATCACTACTCACAATTTATAGATGAGGACAATGAGGCAATGAGAGGTTAAATAACCCATCAGGGTCTACTCAGTGAAAAGAAGAGCCAACATTCAAATTAGGACTCTGGCAATCCCCTGTTGTAAACTACAATGTTACACCGACTCTCAACATTTGCTCACCATTATTCAGTTCAGTTCAGTTCAGTTCAGTTGCTCAGTCGTGTCCGACCCCTTGAGACCCCATGAATCACAGCACGCCAGGCCTCCCTGTCCATCACCAACTCCCGGAGTTTACTCAAACTCATGTCCATTGAGTCGGTGATGCCATCCAGCCATCTCATCCTCTGTCGTCCCCTTCTCCTCCTGCCCCCAATCCCTCCTAGCATCAGGGTCTTTTCCAATGAGTCAACTCTTCGCATGAGGTGTGAGGAATGAAACCGGGAGCAAAACTTGATGTGATCCTGGCCTTTTGGAACTGGGACAGGTGGGGAGCACTCTTTACATAACAGTGCTGTGTATAAGCATTTGGCCTGCTCAAAAAGAAATCTGACCGTCAGCCCTAAACCCCACCCACCACCCCCCAGTTTCTGGGAAGTAACCTCTACACCCTTGACTTTCTTCAGCAAAAGCAGGAGTGTCATGGTGAGCCCCTCAGAACACATCTAATTTATGTTTATACTAAGCAGTTTCTCAGGCTAGGAGCAAGCATACAGCCTAGTCTTAGGGCAGAAGCTGGCCATGGCCAGAAAGCAGAAACTAGAGCTTGAATTCAACCCTGTGAGCCGTCAATCAATCAATTATGCACACATAATGAAGCTTCAGTTAAAAACTTTGGACGCCCAAGCTCAGAGAGCTTCCTGGGTGAACAATCCTGTCTGTATTGTTGTAACATATAAAGACTAGGAGGCAATGGATCCTGAGGACAGAAATTTTTCACTTGGAAACTGGTCAGACTCTGCCATATAGGCTTCCAACTTTGGCTAGTTCTAATTTGCATTCTTTCCTTGTAATAAGTGTAACCATGAGTATCACAGGTTTTGGTGAATTTAATGTCTTTAGCAAATTTCTGAGCCTGAGAGAGGTTTTCAAAACCCCCTAAATTTGCAGTTGGTATCAGGTGTCTTAGCAGACTTGGCCATCTAGAAGACAGTGCACTTAACTTTGTGGTTTGGGTAACTCAAGGTGCATGCAAAGAAATGAAAAATTGCAGTTGTTAAGACCACTGAGGAGAGGCAAGCAGCCTCTCCTCTAAGGGAAGGGGTACAGAGGGCTTCTCTGGGGCAGTCAAGAGTTACCTGAGAGCTGCAGGCTGAGCAGGAATTAAATACCTGGAGGTCATCAGGAGCATAGGAAACACAAAAACACAAGTTCTGTATTTAAGGAAGTGCAAGAAGGCCAAAGCTAGACTATAAGGAGAAAAAGGGAATTCTGCATAAAGTGGGTTTTAGAAAACATTCACTGTTTTTACTAATAATGAAAGTTGTACATGTTCATCAGAATATATCCTTCTTGCTAATCCTATCTCTGTATCTTTGCCTGTACTCATGTATTTTCTTTTGTATAATTAGGACTGTGCTACATCCACAGCATTATATCATGGTTCTTTTTTTTTTTCCAATTAAGACCATACATTGAATATTTTACCTATGTTATCAAATCTTGGAAAATATGATCTTTTGAGGTATAACTTGTTAAGCATCAAAGGCAAGATCTTACATGAAGTCTGACCAGGATATAAGTAGGTATAGGGGGATGAGTTTGACAAAAGGATAAACCCAATTAGCACATATTAATATGTTCATAGAATGTTTCTGTCTGCCCAGAAAGTTGCTTCATGTTCTTTCCAAATTAATTCCTGGACTCACCTCAAAAGCAACCACTAATGTGATTTCTTTACCTGTTCTAGAATTCCATATAAATGGATACAAGCGGTGTATTCTCAATTTTTGGGTCCAATTTTTGTTCTGCATAATGTTTTGAGATTCATTCATGTTGTGTCAGTTATTCATTCATTTTTTTAGGAGGATGAATAATATTTATTTTTTATTGAATTTAGTTTATTTATTTATTTATTGAAGTGTAGTTGATTGACTTGAGAGTCCCCTGGACTGCAAGGAGATCAAGTCAGTCAATCTTAAAGGAAATCAACCCTGAATATTCAATGGAAGGACTGATGCTGAAGCTGAAACTCCAATACTTTGGCCACTTTATGTGAAGAGCCAACTCATTGGAAATGACCTTGATGCTGGGAAAGATTGAGGGCAAAAAGATGAGAGGGCAACAGAGGATAAGATGGTTAGATAGCATCTCCAATTAAATGGGCATGAATTTGAGCAAACTCCAGGAGACAGTGAAGGACAGGGAAGCCTGGCATGCTGCAGTCTATGGGGTCACAAAGAACTGGACACGACTTAGCAACTGAGCAACATCAACAAATAGTTGATTTATTATGTTTCAGGTGTATAGCAAAGTGATTCTGTTATATACACACATGTATATATATACACGTACACAGATATATTCATTCTTTCCCACACATATATATTCATTCTTTCCCAGTTAAACATACACTTTAAGATTTCCTAATATTTCAAGGTATTGATTCCTGTAATTTATTTAAATGCTCCTTTTTTTCTTTTTGGAAATTTAAGTTGCTTCAATTTTTCTTGATTACAGACAAAATTCTTATGAACCATTTATCACAGACATCTATATATGCATCTCTGATCATATCGATACCTACAAATTCCTGAAAGCATAACAATAGGCTCAGAGGTATAAATGTTTCCAAGACTCAGTCAATATTGCTGAATGGCTCTCCAGAATCTAACAACTTACATGCCCACTAGCAAGGTACGAAGTCAGCCATGTCACTGCACTATCAACAAGAGATGTCCATTATTAACAATAATCTTCACTATTTTGATAGCTAAAATTTTAGAATAGACCTATGGACATGGAAAGAGGGGAGGAGAGGGTGAGATGTATGGAAAGCGTAACATGGAAACTTACATTACCATATGTAAAATAGATAGCCAACGGGAATTTGCTGCATGGCTCATGAAACTCAAACAGGGGCTCTGGATTAGCCTAGAGGGGTGGGATAGGGAGGGAGACGGGAGGAAGGTTCAAAAGGGAGGGTATGTATGTGTACTTATGGCTGATTCATGTTGAGGTTTGACAGAAAATAACACTATTCTGTGAAGCAATTATCCTTCAATAAAAAATAAATTAAAAAAATTTTAAACTTAAAATTTTAGTTTAAAAAACTTAAATTGCAATTATTTTTTTTATTGTGAAGTTAAATATTTATTGATTGATTATTTGAACTTATCCTATGAGATAGCTATTAGACCAAGGACTGTTAGTACTTTTTCTATTTTATAATATGTGAGATGGCTTTTGTAAAGTGCTTATAGGAGTGCCTAGTGCACTATAAGCACAATGTATTAGCTTTGCTTTTATTATTAATTTCCTTCTGTTTTAAGCACTTTAATTTGTCATCAGTTACAATTATTTTTCTTAGAGTGTTTATTTTAGTTTTAGTATGTTTTATAAGCAGACACATGTTTTAAGTTTTTATTTTAGTTAAAAGTAGCAGTCTTTTCCCTAGTATACTATTTATTTGCTTAGAAAGTCATTCAGATCAGTTAAATATTCACTCACATATTTCATACAGTCTAAACATCTTTCCACAATAGGCTTTCTTTCTCCGTGTATATATATATTTTCTAACCTTTAATGGAAAAGTTTAAACACACATATACAAAATAGTAAACTCTCATGTAATCCATGCCAGTTCCAACTCATGACCAATCTTAATACACCTGTACCTCCATCCACTTTCTCCTCACCTGCAAAATTACTTCAAGCAAATCACAGCCATCATTTCATT